GGGGGGTATTCATTTTAAGCTTAGTTTCCTCTATTGCATGCTCAAAGTCACGACATCTTGTAAATGGGTGATAATAATTGATCCTGTGTTATACTTCATGCCAGTCTTGTCGATATCTAACTGTTGGCCTACTTTGCATTCTATGTGCAGTTGTCCTCTAACGTTTTCAATGAGCTCCTTGATTCTATCATTGTTGATGTTGCATCCGAGTGTCACCGAATAGCTAAATTAGGCCTTGATTGTAATTTAGAAGAAGAAGAGGAAGAACTGCGGTTGTCTGCCCAAGCTCGGGCAACAGTAGCCGATCCTAGCAATAGTAGTGAAACAAATGGCAAATACATTGTAGATATATTTGGGCAAACTCATCCTCCTGTCGCAAATGAGATACTTGAATGTATGAACTGTAGCCGGTCTATAGTGGCTGGACGGTTTGCTCCTCACTTGGAGAAATGCATGGGAAAGGTAGATTCTTTCTTATTTTAGTACCCAATTTCATATTAACCCCATATCAGTATATATCCAAATTATTTTCTGTTAATGCTACTGTAATATGTTATTTCCTCCACTAATGGATTTCTTTGCATAATGTTGTGACCATGCTTTTCTTGAGCTGAGGGTCTATCAGAAACAGTCTCTCTACCTTCACAAGGTAGGGGTAAGCACTACCCTACCCAGACCCCACTTGTGGGATTACACGGGTGTTTTTTGGTTGTTGTTGTACTACTGTGATATGTTAAACGAGTGTTGAACTTGGCTACAGGGGAGGAAGACCCGTCTTAAGGCAACAAGAAGTAGCACTGCTCAGAACCGGTATACACGAAGCAATTCTGTTTCAACCTACTCACCTTATTCAAATTCCACCAGCACGAGCCGGTTACCAAATGGAACTTCCGGTGTTGCAGGTAATGAATACTCAAATGGCTCCTTAGAAGAGTTATGATGTGGCCTTGGAGGCCAATGTAGGAGGCTGGTTCATCTTCAGGTGAAGAATTGAACTGAGAAGACTACTTGGGACTTCCCTTTGTTGTTTCAAATCCTCCTTATCTGTCGTGCATTAGGGCGGCCGCAACGAGCACAGTATGGCTCTGTCTGTAAATATATGCAAGCATGGTTTCCACAAACAACTGGTTTAGTGCGTGTTGGCTTTCACAAACCAGAGTTTAGTAGTTGAATCTAACTTGCAACATTGTATCACAAATGTCCTAACAATTCTAGTTCATGGTCAATGCCTTTATCATCAGTTCTTTGGTTCTATTCTAAAGACTAATCCAACATTCGACCTCATAAGCCTAGTTACTACTTTTAACGTTTTTGCGTCTAGCATTCCATTTATTTCCTCAAACTTTTTAAATGAAGGATAGAGCAAAATAGAGTTTCAAGATTTGTTAGAAAAATGTACCTTCCTTGTTCAACAACAACTATCCTAATATAATGCCACGAGTGGGGTTGAGAGAGTCTACTATATACGTAGACTTTACCCTTGCTGTGAGGTAGAGAAGTTGTTTTCAATTAGACCCTCGACTCAAGGAAATATGCAAGTAAAGCAATAACAACAGGCAGTAACGACAACAAGAAAATAGGAAAACAAGGCAAAAAGAACAACATGAAGTGATAAAAATCTACTAACAAAAAATTAACGAAAAGGCAGAGACGGATCCAGGATTTTAAGACCCTGGGTGCACCACCAGCTTTAACATAAATTTTGTGCTTCTAAATAGTGTCAATTTTTTTTTGGTCAATAATGTCAAATGATGTGAGAACATTTAGTATTTTATGACTTATTATCAATTTTAAATATTATTCAAAGAGATAACTTATACACTTCTTAAATCATTCAGTTCTTACCATCAAAAATCAAAACAAAGCGGAAAAATAAAATGCTGATAATTTAATACCATAAAATGAAATTAGTGCAAATTTTAGGAATCACATAAAATATCAAAAATGGTAAAGAGAAAATTACTTGAGAGATAGCAATTGGGATTGAGGTTGCCATAAATTGGGATTTGGGAGAATAACAAAATATTAGGAAAAAGCTTAAAGAGAAAAATAAGGGAATAGTGAGTAGGAAAACAAATGAAAGAAAGAGAATGCAGGACGAGGAAAGCCCAAGGGGATCGATCCCTAGTCCTTAGGGAGGTAAAACAAGTATCTAGCCAGTGCACAACTTGGATTTACCGAGCATGGGTTCCCAAAGATAATATTAGATTATTTTCGTAAATTATGTTACATGGAAAAATTATTTTACCGGAAAGACCATGGGTTCACGTGAACCCCAATTAATAGGGTAGATCCGTCCCTGCGTAAAGGTACAGGAATTGGTCAAAAAGTGGATAAAGTAATACGTAAAATATATAATTCCAATTCCTTGTTTGGAAGTTTCATGTAATTTTGAAGTTGAATATGCTATTCATATGACAGGATTATCTAAATATTTAGACACACAAAAAGAACTAAATAATCTCCAATAGTTCCAAAATCAAACCACTGAAGCAAGGCACCCCAAAGGAATTAACTAATTTCCAAAGAGTTCAAACATCAACAATGGATAGCATAACCTTTCCTTCTGATTTCCAGTTTTATTTTTGCTATTGTTGGTTAAAGCGGTTTTCAGCTTTGTGCTTTCCCTAGTTCACTAGAATCTGATGTAAAATTTAGCCTTCTAGATTATTGTTCAAGTTGATCAAAGCTGCAATCTAAGTGCCCGTTTGGACATAAAATTTGATAGAAGATTTTTCCAAAAAAAATTCATTTTTTTCCGAAATCAATTGTTCAAAACAATCCAAACTGAAACTCTAAATTTCAAATACCATTTTCGTTTTAAAAAACAATTCACCACTTTTTTAAATTTTACAATTCATATATCCAAACACCTACTAAATTACAACATGCTATAAACTGAAATTACTTTATAGTAACTATCAAAATTGTTTCATAATTATATATTGAAAGATAAAAGAAAATTATAACTTGCATTGTAACCCTCCAAAAATTGGCGTATGCCACTATTTGCGACGCGCACACAATATTCTTTAGTAAAAGGCGAAAGAATAGTTCGCTTTGTGCTCATCGCGTGGCTGCGTGAGTTGATCTGTTTTGAACGAGCTCATTTTATATTCGTTGCAGCTGCTTTCTTTTACACCTCCCCTTCGGTGTGGGACTCTATAAATTCTTCACAATGAATACCACACGGCTGATATGGGCTTCTGTTAGGGCCTTAGGGAAGCCCAGGCCTTTTTAGAAGAAAGCAATATATATTTGTAGGTACTACCAAAAAGTAAAATTGCACGGGGTGTTCTACTTGGTCGCCCACATTTAACCTATACCCATTTTTTAAAAATTTTTTAACTTGTACTCACTTTTTAAACAATTTCAGCCATTTTTCTCCTCTTTCTCCTCCTTCGTTTTCTTCTGATGTTGGTGTTGCTATGAAACTTCAGTTTATGGGGATGATTGGCATACGTATGTTCAGTGGCGGCTCAACCCCAAGGCTACTAAAGCCATGGCGTTAGGCCCCCAAAAATATAGGGCCCCAAATTTTACTCATATTATATATAAGATAAGTATATTTTATATAATTACTTCTATAATGATAAGAAAATAATGTGATCAACTATTTGCTATGTCAATAATCATTATGGCATAATTTCAAACATTATGCGGTTTTTCCGGGAGAAATAGTATTAACAATATTTGCCTCCAAAGGCCTCTAATAATGATTTGGCTTTAGGCCCCTTACTCCATCGAGCCGCTACTGAGTATGTTTATCAGATTATTTAAAAATAAATTATAAATAACTTTCTAAAGTAAGTATGTACATGTATGTAAATGTAGGTACATTTCCTTTAAATCACATTCTATTTTTTTTTTTTTTGGATTCAGCTTTGTACATTATCAATGCATTTTAACCTGTTATGCTAAATCATTATCTAGTTTTTTAAGTTACTAATTTTACTTATGATAAACTTATATATGTACAAAAAATTAATTACATAATAGCATAAAACATGCTGAAGTTCAGCAAATATAGAACAAAACTTCAGCTAAAACATGTTGAAGTTCAGCAAATAGAGAACAAAACTTCAGCTACTATAATTAAGTTCAGCAATTACAAACAAAAACTTCAGCAAATAGATAACAAAACTTCAGCTACTATGCTTAAGTTTAGCAATTACAAACAAAAACTTCAGCAAATAGATAACAAAACTTCAGCTACTATGCTTAAGTTTAGCAATTACAAACAAAAACTTCAGCACACTTGGTTCAGCAATTTTTGCTACTTTAGGCACATCTACTAGAATGCTGAAGTTTGCGTGATTGTCTTTGCTACTTCAGGCCCATATGCTGAAGTTACGTGAAAAAATGGGTACGCTTACAATTTTTTTTGCAAAGCGGGCACAAGTTAAAACGTAACCCAAAAAGCGGATATAGATGCAAATGCCCCTACCAAAAATAAGTATATTATAATTTTTTTAGCTAACAAATGTAGTTAATTTCAGTGTACTGGTCAATTTTATATTTTGCCCCAACTTCTTCCCACGTTATGAAACAAGCAGGTCTTTTCCTCTGGTTAAAGGTTCTTCTTGGTTCAACCTCATTGGTTCATCTATATTTATCTATTTATTTATATTTATATTATATTAAAAGCACGAAACCCCTTAACGAAATGTCGTTCGCCTTTTTTATCTTTTAAAAATAAATTTAATATTAAAAAAAATTATAATTTAAATTATTTTCCTACTATTTAGGACTTTAAAATTAACTAAAATTTTGATTATTAAATTTTTAGTTATTTGAATTATATAACAATTCCTAATATTTAGGAATTAAAGCCAAGTAAAATAGAACTTATATAAATATATTACTTATTCGAAACATGCAAAATAATTATCAGACTGTCATTATGAGTATGTCTTTCACGTTAATTAGACATACATTTATGTTACATCGTAATAAAAATATGTAACCTAAATATCTCTAAAACTTATAAGAGCCAATATTGGAAAACAACGAGGACTGTGGCTTTGGAAACATTAGTTACTTACTTATTTCATTACTTTTATATGTCATTTGGAAAACAAATTTTCCGAAAGTATATAAATAACTACTGAATTTCTAAAAATAAACCTAACAAAAAGTGGGGGGAAAAAGTTAAGGAACCATACAACCTAAAAAATTATGGAGTAGAGTATACGAAATATTCCTTCAGCATTACTACGAAAATATGAAATATTGATCAATTTTTCTATTCTTCGTAAGTGCATTTTATTTTGGATAAAATCATAATCATAATTAATAATTTATTTTATGTAGAATTAAAATTTAGGCTCTTCAAGATTTCTTTGGACAAAGTTTTTTCCTTTATTGAGTTAGTTAAATAGGATTGACATTTATTATTTTTTATGTCTTGCATTTAGTTTTTATTATATAATTGAAATACAATTTTTAAACTAATATTTATGTGGCTTTTATAAAGTTTAACCAACTTACACAAAGGACACACGCGGAGAGACTAGTTCAAAGAAAAAGAGTTGGCTTCGTTCCTCAATGTATAGCTCTTTGAACACAGATATTGTTTCTGTTGGAAAATATTACTGGGCCAGGCCTACCCATAAGAAGTTGAGTCCACAAGCCAATTAATTAATCTTAGCCAATATAAACACCAAAAAGAATACGCTTTTTTCATTAACTAGTCTCAGGGTATACGCATTGGGCGTGCATCCCCTCTTAATAAGTACTAATTTTAAAAATTACGTTAATATTATATTAACGAATAGTCTTTGAGCTATAAAATATTTACATAAAAAAAAAGTTCTTCAAAATGATGTTTCTTGATTTTATTTAGCTAACTCAATAAAGAAAATGATGACACTAAAAAGTCCCCAATCATCTTGGTTGATATATTCTACTAAAAATTTATTTTATTTTTATATTTCATTACTATTTTAAAAGTTTTCATGTTTTCTTTTAGCAAGTATACATAAACTCTTGAAGATTTAAGAGTTTTTTCCAATATTTTTTGAATGATATATATTCTTAAGTTCATTCTATAAGACACAAACAATGTCAATTAATTAACAATTTTCTTTTTTTGTAGAACAAACTTCTTTTTTGGTATTAGGAAAGCTAAGAAAAAATAGAGGATTGACCAAAAAAAAAAACCTTGAAAAGCTTGGATCCTCGTATGATAAAGCTAAAGTTAGACTTCAAATAGAAAAAATATTTTTTTTAAAAAAAAAACACCCCTCCTTGTCAATGAGATCAAGTCTTATATCCAATTGAAG